TCATGGTACTGTTTATAGTTATGCTGGCTGTATCATGTATCCACTGCCTTACTATGGATGGATCAGGGGAGCTGGGCTTTATGCAGTAACTGCACTGACGTAGGGACAACCGACCGGAGTCGTCTCCTCATCAACAACTGTGATGGTAAATAACCCAAGCTCAATGGAGTAGTAAAGTACTCGAGTACACCAATGCAATAGTCTTTACCATCAGCTTTAGTCTTGCTGAGTATTCTCTTTACTGTCGGAACAGTGCGCTCAGCGTGACCATTAGATCTATGATAATGGGAGCTAGACGTTTGGTGCACAAACCCATACTGCTTCGCCATCCGTGCAAATTCCTGCGACGCATATTGCGGACCGTTATCCGACACACACTTCTCCGGTATTCCAAATCTGGAGAAAATGCATTTTAGCCGGTTGATGATGCAACTACTAGTCGTACTAGTCAACTTTTCGACCTCAAAGAACCGACTGTAGTAATCCACAACAACTAAATAATCACTCACTTCCCAGGTGAATAAATCACTGGCAACAACCTGCCATGGGTACTCAGGAACCTTGTGACACGTTAGGGGTTCTTTAACATTAGAGTTCCTACCAACTCAGTACCATATCTGTGATTTCGGCCGTTATTCTTGGCCAGAACACAATATCTCTTGCCCTCGAGAGACATTTCTCTACTCCCATGTGTCCTGCATGTATATTCTCTAGAAACCGTGTACGCAGTTCACTAGGAATATACATCTAATGACATTTCATGATAATGCCCTCAAGAATGGTCAGCTCATCCCGAATATTTATCCCGAATATTTATATATATTAGCTTATCCCGAATAATTCCAAAGCTCGACGACAGACGGGGAACAATCTTTCCTTAACGAGGCCATCCTGTCATAATACCCATAATACACTGCACCAACAACTCGCACTGTGCATCTGCAGCAATAGCAGCTTTTACTTCCTGCAATCTTACATCACTGATGAGCAGATATGACAGAACCGTGTGGACATGTACCTCTAGCTTATTCGAAAACTCTGGGTATGTATTCGACACAAAATTACGTGATAACGTGTCAGCCACCGGAATCTCCGTTCCTCTTACATACTTCAACACAATGGCATACTTCTGCAACTGTAATAACATGCGTTGCAATCGTGGCGGTGCAACATGCAAACGCTTGCTAAAGATAGCCGTCAACGGTTTGTGATCCGTCTCTACCACTGTTTGCTTTCCGTACACATACTGGTGAAACCTTTTACAGCCAAACCGTATTGAATAAGCTCTTTCTCTATCTGAGCATAACCAACTTCCGTGGTAGGGAGAGACTTAATTAGATGCATACTCCACAGGGCGTCCCTCCTGTAGAACTACTGCGCCCAGGCCATATTTTGATGCATCGACTTGTAGACAGGTATCTTTCGAGGGGTCAAAATATGCCAACACAGGACTCTGTGTGAGGATCTCTTTCACTTTCTGAAATTCATCATGCTGGGCATCATTCCATATAAAAACTGCATCCTTGGCCATCAATTGCCTTAAGGGCTTCGTGATCTCAGCTAGATTTGGTGAGAACTTCGATTGGTAAGTGATCATTCCTAACAGAGTAGCTAATTCTGCTTTGTTCCCTGGGGCCTGCATACCGCATAGATCCTGTATCTTGCTTGGATCAGGCTTGACCCCCTCTGCTGTCAACAGGTGTCCAAAGAAAGGGACTTCAGTGGCTCTGACCACCAGCTTATCCTTATTAAGCTTTATTCCTCTTTCCGAACAACGCTTCAACAGACTCCTTTTATTATAGGTATATATACGATTATATACGATTATACTAGGTATTTATTAGCTCTTGTATATATATACCGCTTCGTTAACCTGAGATACTTGATCTGGTTACTATTTTGTGTCAGATCAATCTAGCTGCACATTACAGCTTTTATATTGAGCCATCGACGTCACAGCAGTTTCAATTAAATCAGCACTTGGCACGGCCCACCTTACCTTCCACATTACTTAGAAAGCACGTCTCAGCAACCCAGGCCACAGTAATTGTTCTTACATCATGCCTTACGCTCACACCATAGGCGCCCACACAGCCATCCACAGCACACTAATCCAGGCAACTGGGACCATCCCGTGAGAACTCATATTACCAGCCCTCGAGGCTTCAACATCCATACAAATAAGCACAATGAAAATAACCCTCGTTACAGTAATCCTCAATACAATAACCCTTATGTCAGAGACCCTCAATACAATAACCCTTACGCCAGAGACCTTCAATACAATATTACCATGACGTCAGTTACCTTAGTATCATTACAGAGACCCTGACTACAGTTACCTTCACTACAGTTACCCTCACTACGGTCACCATCACTACAGTTACCATCACATCAGTTACCCGCAGTACATGCAGTTACCCTCACTACAGTTAACTTCACTACAGTTACCCGCAGTACAGTTACCCTCACTACAGTTACCCTCACGTCAGTTACCCTCACGTCAGTTACGCTGAGAGGATCTCTGTCCCCCAGGGTACTGCCGGAACGTACCCTGGGTACGGTCCGGTATACCGGAACGTACCCTGGTACTATCTAATATGCCGGACCGTACCTCGCCTACTCCACTAACGAGTCTAGGGAGTCGCCTACGCCTACTCCCTAACCATAACCCTAACCCTAACCATATCAGATAGTCACTGGACGTTCCAGTATACCGGACCGTACCCAGGGTACGTTCCGGCAGTACCCTGGGGGACATAGACCCTATGAGCGTCAGGCACCCCTCACGTCAGCCATCTTATAAGCAGCCAACGCCACACTACCACGTAATAACCGTCCGCATCTCAGCACCATACGCTACAGAAACCCATAACAGCAGCCTGCACCGTAGCAGCCTGCGTCATAGCCTCTAGCGCCACAGCAAGCACGCGGCGCAGTAGGACACGAAGGGCCGTTGTCGTATAATGGCGTATAATATGTACCCGATGTAACTATCTGATATGGTTAGGGTTAGGGTTGGGGTGTTAGGGTTAGGGTTAGGATGAGGGTTAGGGTTAGGGTTAGGGAGTAGGCGTAGGCGTAGGCGACATATTCGCCGACACCTCGGGTACTACATATACGACAACGACCCCTTCAGCCGCAGTAGGTGGCAGGCACATATGGGCTGCCTGCCCACGCTTTAGCAGCCCACGCAACAGCAAGCAAGCACGCGGCGCAGTAGATGGCAGGCACATGGGCTGCCTGCCCACGCTTAGCAGACAAAGGCAACAGCAAGCAAGCACGCGCCTCAGCTAGAATCGATAGGTCCCCTCAACATGCTAAACGCCTTGCCAGTGGAAAGCGAAAACGGTCAGCTGAAATCGATTGACAGAGCATTTCTAGCAATAGATTCGCCATATATAATAGTGTACAGTGGCGAGATATTGACAAATATACTCCGTTTGTGTAGCGTCACAACACATCACCTATCCTATATACCACTATACTCGGAGTACTTCCTGCATTGTTTGGGTAGCGCTAACCCCGTGTATAGCCATCGAGTGTGAAGGAGCGCAAGCGGTCACGAAGCGTTGCTACGCAGCCATTCGCATTTCATACAAAGAGATCCATTGCTACGCGGTGAAAGTTCTGGGTTATGGAGAGCGACACTGATACTTTAGCCGGTATCTCGTTGCCCACTGTAGTCACTAGGTTTTATTAAAGTTCATTTTGGGATGGATTACAGTTTACGTTAATCCTTAAAATAATGTGCAAATTGCATAATACTTAGAGAAAAAACATACATTAAATGTGTATATATGTAATATATAATATATATATATAAATAAATAAATAAATAAATAAATAATAATAAATAAATAAATAATAAATAAATAAATAAACTATATATATATATATATATATATATAGTATATATCGCGTGTACATTTACAATATACATTATGCCATATACAAAAAAATTTACCATCGAAATATTGCATTCTATTCACTACATGTCGATTTCTTTAACAATAACATTCGTAGTTGTCAAACATAAAGCGCGTAGGCCAAACCAGCTTGAAACGTGCCTTTTCTCATGCACGCAGTGTTTCTGTATGTTTTGCTCAGCTGTGTGCTGTGTCGGGTGGCGTGTGTGCGCTTGCTCGCCGAGCAGAACGCGAAACGCTGGAAAACAAAATTTCCCGTTTTGCTCGCGTGTGTGCACTAGGCTTAGTTTGGACGTGGTTACGTTAAGTTTAGACGTGGTTTCGCACGGAAAGTCTGATACTTTGTTCATATAGTGTTTTAGAAATACGCGTTTAGTAGTCTAATGACTAGTTTAAGACGGTATTCAGTATAATGTAGTATTCAGATAAGAAAGTGCGGTTTCTTAACGTCTTTATATAATTGAAACATGGTAAAATTGGTGTATATATGTACGCACTAGTACAGTGAGTGTAGGATATATGACATTACCAAAGCTTAAGCTAAATATCGCAATTGCAAAGGTTGTCGAAAAATATCTAGCATACGTGCATTGCATTGCGCACGCGCGTGTGTGTGCGTGTGCGTATGCGTGTTTGTATGTATACATGCTGAGGGAGAGAGTGAGAGTGAGAGTGAGTGCGAGAGCGAGAGCGAGCGAGCGAGAGAGAGAGAGAGAGAGAGAGAGAGAGAGAGAGAGAGATAACAAAAAAGCGTCGGGAGGTTGGAGAGCGGACAGGTAGCGAGGTGGTTGGATAGATCGATAGATAGCATTTGCGTCCACACCTAGAGTGAAGCAAATCTACTGACACATACAAAAGTGCGTAGGCCCTTCAAGCACGCCCACGTACACGCAAAGGTCGTCTATGACGTACCACTGAATGACAAGTTTTGTGAACTGAATTCGTTTACCATTGTTGCGAATGCGTTCTCACACGTCACCAGCCCACGTGACAGTAGCCACGCTAACAGCACGCGATTTCATAGAAAGAGTGATAAATTAAGAGATGATTCATTCTGTTTTATATTGCATTCATTGTTTTTAACAGAACAAGGCTTACAATCACAATGTTAAAGTATGATATACGACGCGATGATTAAGGTAGCTTTACTCAAAACTCTCTTGTCTCAATGAGGTGAAACCCAATGGACGTATTACATGAACGTACTGTGTACAAGAATGTATTACTTCTTCTGTTAGTCCTGTCACGCCTATAGCTCATAGTAACATATAACTCTGACTGGTTTAATCCGTACATCTGCAGCATCGTTACAGAGTTTTCTATACGTTTGTCATTTACTTAATAAATATATTGCGGTCGATATTGATCAAACAGCGTTATTATTCATGCAAGTTATAGAATAGGACTATACAGATATACTTTACTATACCCTATATAATATAATATCTTATGTATCCTATACGCCTAGGCATTATTTCTGCTACAATTGCATTACATTCTACATTCACACAATAATGGCCATCGAGCGATCGAGACGAAATGTTTATCTAAATTTCAGAATGAAATACTACTTTTTCCCCGAATAAAATATTCATCGAAGCCAATACTGTTATCCACGTCAACTCTGATTCGCACTTGATTCCATCGTTTGGGGGTCTTATATGAATAATAATCAGCGAGGCGCCGGTCTATTTTGTCTTCTTTCAGCATCACGGGAAGGAAAACTGTCGACCCCAGCGCTAGTCGGCATCGCGATCGGCTCGTCGGTGCTGCTCGCCGTCATGGTCGCCATGATGTACGTTTGCTATCGGCGGCGCTACAACGGCACCAAGCTGTCATCTGCCATCAAAAAAACGCTGCGGGAACCAGCTCCCGGCAGCCTCATGGCCTCACCGACGGGCATCAAGACAATTCACGTCGTCACGAAGAAGAGTCCAAGTCCGACGCAGCCGCAGAAGGAGTTCCCGCAGCTAGAGATATCGAGAAAGTTCAGCGGCACGTCGAAGAGCCCGAGTCCGGGCGACGTCGGCGCCAAATCTCTCAGCCCGAATTTCCACGTCGAGAACGAGGAGCGAGTGTGCAGCAAGCTGTCGCCGTCGAGCGACGGCAGCATCAAGGAGAGCGACGAGACGAGGGTGACGCTGACGAACAAGGACGGCAAGCTGGGCGACCTGCACTTCATGCTGCGCTACAACTTCGAGAAGGGCGCCTTTCTCGTGACGGTGTTGCGAGCCGTGGATCTGCCGGCGAAGGACACCAACACGGGCAGCTCCGATCCCTACGTGAAGCTGCAGCTGCTGCCCGAGAAGCAGCACAAGGTGAAGACGCGCGTGCTGCGCAAGACGACGAATCCCGTTTACAACGAAGAGTTCACCTTCTACGGGCTCACGTACAACCAGCTGCAGACGATCACCCTTCACTTCGTCATCCTCAGCTTTGACAGGTGAGTGGGTGTGTGTGTGTGTGTTTGTGTGTGTGTGTGTGTGTGTGTGTGTGTGTGTGTGTGTGTGTGTGTGTGTGTGTGTGTGTGTGTGTGTGTGTG